TGAACATTGAATGTTGTTTAAGAAAGAAAGTAATATAATTCTTTTTCTATTACATTAATACTTAATTCTTTTACTAAACAGTAATTTAATTCAGATATTTTTTTTCTTTTTTTAGCAACAACTTCGGACATATTACCAGTGGAGAACAAAAGGACTTCAAGGTCATTAAGAGACCAGACCAGCAATATCCATTCGAATAATTTCGAGGCAAGAGGCACATCAGGGAAAGGTAATTAACATTTATTTATTGTATTTTTTAGAAATTGTCTTTCTTTTTCTATACTTTCAAAGCATATTTTTATTTCTTTACTTTCTTTACATTTTTTCACTTATCTTTAACTTTTTCTTAGAATTTTTATTTTATTTATTTTTTGTCTTTTGGTTTGTATTAACTCAAAACTTTTCTTTCTTTTGATTTACTTTAACGTCATTTACATCTTCACCTTTTACTTATTCTTAAAACTTTTCTTTCATTTAATTTATCATACTTTTTTTATTTACATTTAGACTATTTACTGAAATATGTAATAAATCTTTTTTTAACTTTTACTTTTATAGTAACTTAATTTAGATTTTTCTTTTTTTTAGTTAGCAGGAACAGTGGTGGACATCGAAGCCAACAACAAGTGGAATCAACTGGGACATCACGGAACCACCAGGACATCAAGGATCCACACCAGCGGACCCAAGGATCCGATCCGATCGGGGGCCCCAAACCTCCGGGGTTGGAAGGCATGGGATTCCAGGATCTCCAGGTACGAGGACTTCGAACTTCGAAGACTTCGAAGTTCGAAGATCGCGAGGTCCGATGTCCTCGGAATTGGTAAGTCTGCGGGGTTCAAAAGACTTCGAGATAGAAGTCGGGATCCCATGGGTTCGAAATTTTCGAATTCTGGGAACTCGACACTACTATCTCGAATCTTTGAACTTCACAGTCTTTCCAATTTCGAAGTCATTGTTCCTCGGGATCTTTAAACTTCGAAATCTTTGAAATCCGACGTTTTCGCGCCCGGGAATCCTGGAATTCGAAGTCCTCCAACCCCGGAGCGTCGAGGGGGCAGGGAGGGCGCGTAGGGTGGGCCGGTAATGGGAAAGGGCGCGTAGGGTGGGGCGGTAACGGGGGAGGGCGTCCGGGGGCAGGGGAGGGCGTGCGGGGCAAAGACAGAGGGGAGGAGGTGTACTGTATTATTTTTTAAAAATAAATAAAACATTAAATTCTTTATTTTTTGACTGGTGCATCCCTACATCGAAGGTTTTTGTAATTCGACGCCGGTGGGGGACGCGGGTCCCCTGTCCGCGCGCGGGACCATTTTTAGCAGAATTGAATAGCCCCCAAGTGGAAACTGCCACCTTTCAATGACCAGGAACCATCTTCCAAGTGGTTAGAAGTGCCTTCCAACAACTTGGATCGCCACTGAGAGGCTTGACTTATGCCTGGGCAAGCAGAAATCAGCTTCAAGTTGCTTGAAGATGATCATATCTGCGGGAGATATGGTACCAGTACCAACCTCCCGCAGACAGGATCACCCTCAAGCCCCTTGAAGGTGTTCCTGTTTGCGAAGGGATAAGTCTTACCTATAAGTGGTGATCGTTGGTGTTGGAAGGAACTTCTTACCCTTGGAGGATGGCTCCAGCCATTGGAAGATGACCGTTACCGTTGGGGGCTATTCGCACCCGTTAGAAATGGTCCCTCGATGGTGGCGATGATCTCCCACGATGACTGATGTCCCTGGAGTTCCCTGAATCTGTAAACAAATTAAGTATTAGTAAAATAAACAAAATATCTAAA